CTTCTACTCTTTTGAGCAAGGGAGAATTGCTGCTTACAGGCTTTATGAGATGATAAGCCGGTCATCCTCTACTGCCAATCATGATGGAACCACACTTGCTTCTGTACAAGGAAACATTGAGTTTCGGAATGTATATTTTAGTTATCTTTCCCGTCCTGAAATTCCAATCTTAAGTGGTTTTTACCTTACAGTACCTGCTAAAAAGGCCGTGGCACTTGTTGGTAGGAATGGTTCCGGAAAAAGTAGTATCATACCTCTTATGGAACGGTTTTATGATCCTACATTAGGTATTGTAACATCTTCTGGTCTAATACTTAGTATTATTTTTTTTGGGGGTTAGAGTCTTAAATGATCATATGTCATTTTCCTCCCGCTTGATTCTTTTTTGCAGGAGAAGTTCTTTTGGATGGTGAAAACATAAAAAATCTGAAGCTGGAGTGGCTGAGAAGCCAAATTGGTTTAGTCACACAGGAACCTGCTTTGTTAAGCTTGAGTATCAACGAGAACATTGCTTATGGGCGGGATGCTTCTCCAGATCAGATTGAAGAAGCTGCTAAAATAGCACATGCACATACATTTATCAGCTCACTGGAACGAGGCTATGAGACTCAGGTAAAGTCTTGTGTCGAGAATTTGAAAAAATTATGCTATCCTTTTGTGGATAATGTCTTCACCAGAAAATTTTCCCATTTGATCTTTTCTTCATTGTTTTGGCAAATTCATCGCTCATTGCAGGTAGGCAGGGCTGGTCTGGCATTGACAGAAGAACAAAAAATAAAGCTCTCTATTGCTCGGGCAGTGCTTTCAAATCCTTCTATTCTTCTTCTTGATGAAGTCACTGGTGGCCTTGATTTTGAGGCTGAAAAATCTGTTCAGGAGGCTCTTGATCTCCTCATGTTGGGTAGATCAACAATAATAATCGCTAGACGGCTTAGCTTGATCAAGAATGCTGATTATATTGCTGTGATGGAAGAAGGCCAATTAGTTGAAATGGGTACACATGATGAGTTAATAAACTTGGATGGGCTATATGCTGAGCTTCTTAGATGTGAAGAAGCTGCAAAGCTCCCACGGAGGTATAGTTGTAAAGTGAACTAATCCTTTTTTGATACCTTCTTTTGTTTAAAGAAATGTAATGCAATCTCTCTAGCTTATTCTTATTGCTGCTGAGGTCCATAAATTGTGTCCACAGTGTTATTTAGAAAATAATCTGGATTACTTCAATTATTTTAAGTTAGTGACCTCACTATGCTGGACCAGGATGCCAATGAGGAATTATAAGGAGACGGGTACTTTCCAAATTGAAAAGGATTCTTCGGCAGGTCATGGCTTTCAAGAACCATCATCTCCTAAAATGATGAAATCACCTTCTCTTCAGAGGGCTGGTCTCCATGCATTCCGCACTGCAGATGTTACGTTGAGTTCACAAGAGTCTCCCCGGGTTCGTAGTCCCCCTCCAGAGCAAGTGGCTGAAAATGGTGTACCAGTGGATGTGATGGATAAAGAACCATCAATAAAAAGGCAAGATAGTTTTGAAATGAGACTTCCAGAGCTGCCCAAGATTGAAGTTCAGTCAGCACATCGACAAACATTAAACTCTTCAGATCCTGAATCCCCCGTCTCCCCATTATTGACATCTGATCCAAAAAACGAACGCTCTCACTCACAAACTTTTAGTCGTCCTCACAGCGAATTTGGTGATATTCCTATTAAAAGAAAAGAATCAAGGGATTCACGACATCGAGAAGCGCCTTCATTTTGGAGGCTTGTGGAGCTTAGCCTGGCAGAGTGGCTTTATGCTGTTTTAGGGAGCACGGGTGCTGCCATTTTTGGCTCATTCAATCCTCTTCTCGCTTATGTTATTGCTCTAATAGTAACAGCATACTATCGGGATGAAAAACACCACTTGCGTGAAGAAGTGAACAAATGGTGCTTAATCATTGCCTGCATGGGCTTTGTGACTGTCGTTGCCAATTTTTTGCAGCACTTCTACTTTGGCATAATGGGGGAGAAGATGACCGAACGTGTCCGGAGAATGATGTTTTCAGGTATATTATAAGTATCCTAACTTGGTGTGCATTTCATATTTCTCCGTTGTTGTATGTTTATTGTTTGCATCTGTAATGACATTGCCTTGATCTTAAATGTTCCTTTCTTTGTCAGCGATGCTTCGCAATGAAGTTGGATGGTTTGATGAAGAGGAGAACAGTGCTGATAATTTATCAATGCGGTTGGCAAATGATGCTACATTTGTGAGAGCTGCTTTTAGCAATAGACTGTCCATATTCATACAGGACAGTGCAGCCGTTATTGTGGCTGTTCTCATTGGGTTGCTATTGCAGTGGCGGTTGGCACTTGTGGCTTTAGCTACTCTACCTGTCCTCATGGTTTCTGCAGTCGCTCAGGTTTTACATCTAGTTAAAACTCATTAATTAGTCCTCCATTTGCCATTTCTGGAAATAGTGTCCTTTGAAGTAAATATGTTGAATGTTGAGGGTCCTTAACAGAATGTTGTCCCAAACGATGCTCTGTTTATTCAGGCTGTGAAAAATTAATTCACGTATAATACCTTGTAATGGAAATTTGATCATATTATGTTCATTCAGTTTCCGCTAATTGCATGTAAGCTGCTGTATATAGTGTCTAAAAGTTTCCTTACAATAGGCTGACTTTGGTTGTACATGAATGTCCTTTCTGTATGTTTGTGGGCTTATTTTTGCTGCTGAGTGTGAATTAGGATGGTGAAACTCTTTATGCTCTATGAGGTCCAGTCTTGAAACTGCAGGCAGATTTTCTTCTCACAAACATGAATACTGTCCTGTTTTGTGTTTTCATCTTTAATGGTACATATTTCAATTAACATTTCTTTACCCTTTGGTGTAGTTACATGCTCATTTCCTGTGATTGTTTGACCCTTAGCTAGAATGTTGCTGTTAATTTTATGATCTAACAGGTTTTCTTGACCACATAACGGAGAATTAGATTGATACCTGTCTCAAAATGTGCAGAAATTGTGGCTTGCTGGATTTTCAAAGGGTATTCAGGAGATGCATAGAAAGGCATCATTGGTTCTCGAGGATGCGGTTAGAAATATTTACACTGTTGTAGCATTTTGTGCTGGTAACAAGGTGATGGAGCTCTATCGGTTGCAACTGCGAAAGATTTTTAAAAAAAGCTTCTTCCAGGGAATGGCAATTGGATGTGCATTTGGCTTTTCACAGTTTCTTCTTTTTGCTTGCAATGCTGTCCTCCTATGGTACACTGCCCTTTCTATCAAGAATCACTACATGACTCTGGGCACAGCACTGAAGGAGTACATGGTTTTCTCCTTTGCAACTTTTGCTCTTGTTGAGCCTTTTGGCTTGGCTCCCTATATTTTGAAAAGAAGGGAATCCCTTGCCTCAGTATTTGAAATCATTGATCGAGTTCCTAAGATTGATCCAGATGATAACTCAGCAATGAAACCTCCCAATGTTTATGGAAGCATTGAGCTGAAAAATGTTGATTTTTCTTACCCATCTCGACCAGAAGTGTTAGTTCTGAGCAATTTCAGTCTCAAAGTCAATGGAGGACAAACTGTGGCGGTGGTGGGGGTTTCAGGGTCTGGTAAGAGCACTATTATATCCTTGATACAAAGGTTCTATGATCCGGTTGCTGGACAGGTACTGTTGGATGGCAGAGATTTGAAATCATATAATTTGAGATGGTTGAGGAACCACTTGGGTCTTGTCCAACAGGAGCCTATTATCTTCTCAACTACAATAAGAGAGAACATAATATATGCAAGGCACAACGCGAGTGAAGCTGAGGTGAAAGAGGCAGCAAGAATAGCCAATGCACATCATTTCATTAGTAGCTTGCCACATGGTTATGACACCCATGTTGGAATGAGAGGTGTAGATCTGACCCCAGGGCAAAAACAAAGAATTGCAATTGCTCGGGTCGTATTAAAGAATGCTCCAATATTGTTATTGGATGAAGCAAGCTCAGCCATTGAATCTGAGTCTAGCCGAGTGGTGCAGGAGGCTCTTGACACTCTGATCATGGGAAATAAAACAACTATCTTGATTGCTCACCGAGCTGCCATGATGAGGCATGTCGACAACATTGTTGTACTGAATGGAGGGAGAATAGTTGAGGAAGGTACGCATGATTCGTTAATGGCTAAAAATGGTTTGTACGTGCGCTTGATGCAGCCTCACTTTGGGAAGGGCTTGCGCCAGCATAGACTTGTTTAGATGGTGTCCATACAGGTTAATCAAGACATGGGTACTTTGCTGCATTGCCCTCATTGGGTCAACTCAATTTTGAAATTTCTGGGCCTATTGGTTGGTGGTTTTCTGGACTAAGACAATCAAATGGTACCTATGATTTCTATCAAACGGTGCCATGTTGACATGATTATGGTGATTGGTGATGCATTTTAGGGATGTATGGTTGGGGAGGACAGTTTGTAGCTTTTGGCAAGTCTGTGAAGGTAGGCTTCGAGGATTAGATTACATATTCTTTGGGAGGCAGTAGTCACTTGGAATTGTGCTAGTCTCCGCGACAAATTTCATTTGTTACTTGCAACAGAGTGGAATGAGGTAGTTGTAGTCTTTGTTCAGGGAGTTAAATAATTTTTTACCTTGTGTGTTTGTGTGGTGAGTTTCTTTCGCTTCCAGCTCCTCTCCCCCATAATTGACAACTTCTGCTGTAAAATTTTCTTCCTGTAGCTTAATTATAGAAGGTAAAATATATAGATATCAGATGTAACCTTCTTCTGTACATAAAGAGAATAGAAAATTTCAGTTGATCCGTTTAGCTTGCGTTATTACTCATTTCCTTGATTGATCATCCGAGTGCTCTCTGCCCTACTGTTGCTATCTTATATGTAACCGCATTGTTCTTAGGTGACGAATTACTCTTACATAATCCAATGGATCAAGGGCCTCTACAATTACCAGTATGGTACAATATATAAATTAGCAGAATGAAAATTTATACAGCAACAATAAATGGAGACACAACTAAAATTTATGTCCAAAAGTTAGGTGCGCTAACATTTGTTTTGCTGGTACATATACTTGCTGTAGGATACCTGTAAAGTACAATTGTCACTGCCATTGTAGAGGCCCCTAATCCTGATCCGATGCTCTGATGAGTTTCTGGTAATGTTTAAATTGGGTGAGCTGTCTAGGGGTTCACTTTATTTTGTCTTGCTCCAGTAAACAAACACGAAGTTACGCAACAGAAACGATTCACAAGCGTTATATGGTATTTGAATACGTAGGTTTTTGGAAGGGCCAAGTGAAAGCTTTCTCCATGTAACCTGAAGTTCAAACAGCATACACAGTAGTATTTTTCCAAGAAAAGCAAAAGCAGTGAGATGCCAGCAAAAGCTAATCCTCGTTGAATGCTTTAACTCTACAAGCAGTCTTCCTAGATATCCAACAACTTGAAGGAGTCTGCCACCACTTTCAGCTGGTTCCTCACTCTTCTCCACCGTCTTTCGTTTGCTCCGACGATCAAGGTGTAGTACCTTCCTGTCAAAAGGCGTCTTTTATTAGCTTATAAATCAAAGATTATGTTAATTGCAATGCCCAGAAAGAGAAATCTCCTCCTAATGTTTTTGCCAGGTTTGGGTTTGACCGTGTCCGAAACTGTCCTTGCAAATCTACACAAATCAGTTTTCACTAGAGTGATCATCATTCTGACTAGTAAGTACTTTCACAGGTGCCAAACGTCAGATTCATACCATTTCCAATGGCTATGGTCGCAAATGCAGCGCGAGCAAAATTGCTGGATGTCAATACATATTCGAAGGTGTAATAATTTCTTCCCTCAATGTTTTTCTGCGACCATAACAAATCAGACGTGAGATCATTTTGATTGAATCTTTCCATACATATATTAAAGCAAAAAAGAAGAGGCACTACCTCCTGCATGTCCATTACGGTGGCTACCTGAGTTGGTGCGGAGTAAACGTGATTAACCAAATGTGAGACTACCTTTTTAAGGGGAAAACAAAGAAAACCAATCATCACTGTGAGAAATCATTGGAATCTTTTCTTTTGTTTTCTTATTTTTAAAGTTGTCTTCTTATTTCCCCCCATAAAAGTAGGAGAAGGAAAAAGCGAGAAAGTTGTATTGGTTGGGCTCGTCCTAAACGAGATGCAGACACCCTTAATTATTGGAATGAACAAAAAATGCTGCGAATATGAAGTTAATATTACCTCGTCCAATGGACCCAAATCATGGACGTCTGATTTATCAGTTGGTATGAAACTCAACCTGACATTTTGCAACTGCAGATACCGGTCCTTAAATGCAGAATCATGGCCTCTGAAATCGAAATCCTACGTAAGAAATGATAGAAATGTTTCTGTTAATTTTGGAGGGATTGCTGCCAAAAACTTGGGCTGATGTTGGTTTTTAATGATTCTTTATATGCAGTATCATACCCTCCAATCTGATGGATAGAAGTAAGAATATCCATCTGCTTTGTCCACAAAGGCTTCATAGTTCTTTGGGATTCCTGCAGACAGAGCATATATCCACTTTGAGCAGTAACAACCAAGAGCCTATGAAGCATATGCAGAACCAGCCACCCAAAAAAAATAAAATAATATAAGATATAAACCACGGAACCTTGAGCCAGAAGGGCAGCAGCAGAGGATAAATTTAGAGATAGCACTCCTACCCCTAATAGAAGTGACCTTCTCAAACAACTCCCTGGAAAAATAACATAAAATCCTAGTAATCAAGCATTTTTTAAACCAATTGCTAACCAGAAGAAAAAAAAAATCACATCCAAGAACTACAACTTGCAGAGAGGGGGAAGGAGGGAAGGGAAGGGAAGAAAGGCGTAATCAATCAGCACATAAAAGCATAAACAAGTCAAATGACGGTCTGATTCTTCTCTCTAGGAGGTTAACATTAATTGCTTTTGAACCCAGACGAGGTTTCTTGCACGTAGTTTTGTTTTTTGACGAGGTTTTGAGTATTAGTAAACATCCTTTGTTCAGTCAACTAAGGTTGAAGGTACATTTATGCACAAGAGAAGTCAGAAGATTTGGAATTCAAGAAAATGTTTCACTTTCTTCTTCAGGAATGGTGTCCCTTGAGCAGGTGATGAAGCTTAGCGTACAAAACGGAGTTGGCCTTGCACTGATGATCCCCTTTGATGGAGGTACATGAAACTGTGAAATCTTCACATCAGAGATTTACTCAGAAAAGTACATAACAGAGGAATCTTGTGAAGTAGATAATATAAAACTGACCCCTTTAGTTAAGGCGGTCGTTGTAGTTGAGGCCAAGCTCAGTGACATTGAAGAAACCGCCATCCCTGTCCAGCCTTCAGCTTCTTACTTAAAAAATTGCAGAGGATAGTGCAGATTGTGACTGGTTCAGAATCAGAGCAGGGTTGCATGAATGGTGCCACCTCTTTTCATTCCCTTTTTTTTTGGATAAATTATATTTTATCCCCCTGTGGTTTACCTTTTTTACATAACCCCCCTATGGTTTCAAAAATTATACATAACCCCCTCATAGTTTGGATTAAAGTGTCAAAGTAACGGAAATAGTCCCTCGTAACGGAACTTCTAAAAATGTCGAAATTATCCTTATAAATACATGACACATTAACCCCCTATGATTTTTATATTTTACCATATAACCCCCTTATGATTTAATATTTTACCATATAACCCCCTTATGATTTTTAAAATATACACATAACCCCCATTGGTTAATACATAAATTTCAGCCTTACATAAGGGTATTTTTGACCTTTTAGATGACGCCGTTACGAGTGACTATTTTCGTTACTTTGACACTTTAATCCAAACCATAAGGGGGTTATGTATAGTTTTTAAAACCATAGAGGGGTTATGTGAAAAAAAACGCTAAACCACGTGGGAATAAAGTGAAATTTGCCCCTTTTTTTTTTTTCTCGTCTAATTTTCTTCCTTCAATGTATCTTTCTCATTTTTTCCCCTTTTAAAAATGGATAAAATGGATAAGGTGTAAAATAACTACTCCTTAAAAATAGTGCTTAGGCGTCCTCAAAATTGAATCGGGCTAGCCACTCGCCAGAAAGAAACCCAAATTGTTCTGGGCTTGGGCCTGTTTAAGAAACATAGTACTCCATCATAATAACAAGAAGACGATATGCCCCAAAAGAACATATTTCCAATCAGTAGATGGAAGAATAAGGCAGGATCTAATGTGGGGCTGGAAGAACAAGACGATTGAACTTGCCTTTCACCAAATTGTCATATTATGCGATTTTTCAAAAAAAAAAAAAAATTCAGACGGGTGATCCGGTAGTGGTTCTGTTCCCATCAGTCCCCGTAGGTTCAGCTGAGCCTCCTCGTAATTAAATTAGGATAGAACAGGTATAAGAATGATAATTGATAAAAAAAAAAAAATCTAATCTAAGAAGCTGTGGAAGCAGAAGCAGAATATAGCAGTAGCACGTGCATTGGTGCAGGAGGGGGCAAATGCAAGAACAAGAGAAAGATTGAAGAGGGGCCAAATGCCATTGGGCTATTAACCTCTCCCAGCGAACGTGCTCGACCCCTGTTGCGTGTCGTGCGCTTGCTCGCTCCTCCCATCAAAAGCTTCTTCAGTTTGTACTACTAGACTGATTTCTACAATTGTACTCATCTTTAAATCTTTTGATCAATCACTGAGTTTTTCGGAGACGGGACGGAAATTATTGTATAACTTATCTATTCTAAACTACGAAGAAAGACTGGCCAAAGAGGTTTTGTATTAAGAGCTAACAGGTACACAGATTTTATTAGACCAAAGAAATGTTTTAACACAACTCTTAAATTTTTTTTATTAGACCAAAGAAATGTTTTAACACAACTCTTAAATTTTTTTTTCTGCAAGTGGGTTTTGAACCCTCACCTACAGTAAAAAAAAAAAAAAAAAAATCTTTGCTCGTTTGATTTTTTTTTTTTTGGTTTAATTATTATCTTTCTTGGGGTTGGGGGCTGTCACAAGCCATAATTCTTCTCTTTTGTAGTTGTTGGCTCCGCGTTGTGCTCGTTTTCAATAATCAATGCAGCATGTAGCGCAAGAAGAGAGTTATCAGTTGGAAGGTTTCTTTTATTAGAAACTACTTTAATTTGAGGTCCAAAATAATGTTCCAGCCACGTGATTGTGCGGGCTTACAGCCTTGTATTCTCGCCTTTCAGGTATTCAAGCGGGGTAAAGAGCGTTTTGGATAGACCTGAAATACCTTTACTTGTTCCGCACTGAATTTCCAAGACAACATATGCTTGAGCACAACAAGAAGTGTGATTTTTGGAGATCAAAATCTGAACTCCTAACCTAATCAGGATGAAGCAAATTATGATATGACATGGAGACCTTCATTTTTTGAAGGGAATTGCTTTAGCTCGTTAAAAGAATTTGTATGGATTTTATGTACTTGCAAGTTTTGTTAACTACCCCATGTGTTCTCTTTAACACAGCGATCAATCCAAGAAATACTGGCAAAATACCAAAAAGATAGGTGGGTGGGCTAAGCGCTGGATGAGTTTAATTAATAATGCACATGCACATGGTTGGAGTACAACTTTTGAGCTTTAGGTTCTATCGGAAATTGGAAAGAGCCAAATGCGCAGCAAAAAGGCCAGTTCAATGATTCCATATTCTCCTTTTAACCTTCAAGTTCACGCCTCTCACTTGAAACTCCTGCTCAAGCAAGCAAGAACCAAAAAAGGCAGTTGGTCAACGATTGATGCCGATGCAAGGGACAAAGACAGTTAATAATCTATTGGAGCTGGACAGTTGTTTGACTGACTGGGCTTTGTTAGTTAGTTATACTCCTAGTTCTGTTGTTTAACTCTTTTCGCTTTATTTTTGCAGCAGTATTAGTAGTAATCAAGAGTCACAGTTTCCCAACTTGTTCTTGGAGACTTTAATGCTGTCAGTAGTCCTGAGTGATGCTTTCACTCAAGCTGTAAGTGAGGAGAGACCAACATCTTGGGAAAAGTAGCAAGAGCATGTCACTATCATCACTATTCATTACTATCTCCCCCAAAACTCCATAATACTACTGCTGTTCTTTAGTCTTCTTCAGTCTGCCTTCTATCTCTGTCTTTTTTGGATTTCTCGTCAGGTTTTTGGATAACCAGGTAAGCTCCATCTCATTTAGCTTGTGTCTTTCCTTGAAAAATTTGTCCCATTTTAAGTTTAAGCTGTCTATTTCGTAGCATGGTAGTATTAGTATTCTGTAGAGGGTAGTCCAATTTGATCTGTCTTTTATCTTCATTCTGCTTCATGCATTATCAAATTTGCAGCTGCGCGTCAAGAAAATGAGCCATTTGAATCATCTGCTTTTCCTCTGCTTCATATGGGCTTTCAGTTTTAGTTCAGTAGCTTCTCTTTTCAGTCCTAAAGACAGAATCTTGATCAGCTTTGGGGCAACCAAGGAAATACAACTTGATGATGGCAGATTGTTTCAACCTGATTTTGGAAATTCTGTTGTCAGTTTGTCTTCTAATTCAGACTCGGTGGTTTCAAACACTGCCTCAAACGTGCCCGCTGTATGCAATTCCGCCCGAGTATTCACTAGGACTTCAAAGTATACCATTAGGACTAAGCAAATTGGACGGCACTGGCTAAGGTTACATCTTTTTCCTGTTAAAGATGATAGATACGACTTGAAATCTGCAGTTTTCTCAGTTGTGGCGAATGGGATTGCATTGCTACATGGATTTTCCTTTTCAAAGTTGGAGGATAGCTCCCCTCTGCTTAAGGAATATGTAGTTGAAATAGGTGGATCAAGCTCAGAACATTTGGTATTGACATTGTCTCCCTGGAGTGGCTCTGTTGCATTCCTTAATGGCCTAGAGGTGGTCTCTGTGCCAGATGGCCAATTTGATTTCCGTGTGCTTCCAGTTCCAAAGGGATCGGAATTTGTGATACCAACACATGTTGCTCTAGAGACGGTGCATAGGATTAACATGGGGGGTCCACTTTTGACACCAAAAAATGATACACTGGGGAGAACTTGGAAACCAGATATACCATTTCTCTTGAATGCTGATAGTGCACGTAGTGTTTCCAAGGATCCCAGATTGATCGAGTATCCTGCTGGAGCCTCGGTTGAAATTGCTCCTAATTGGGTTTATGCCACGGCCCAAGAAATGGCAGATGCCAATGTAACTGATCAGAAGTTCAATGTTACATGGATATTTAGAGTTGAACAAGGATTCAATTATTTCATAAGGATGCATTTCTGCGATATTGTAAGTATTGCTCTTGATACATTGGTCTTTAATGTCTATCTCAACAATCAATCTGCGATAGACTCCTTTGACATCTCTAGCAAGACAATGGCATTGTCAGCTGCTTACTTCATAGACTTTGTTCTCAATGTTTCTATGGGATTAAATCAAATTATTGTTCAAGTTGGCCCTACAAGTCAGGGGACCTTCCCTGCCAATGCAATTCTGAATGGCTTGGAGATAATGAAATTGAGCGGTCCTACTGATAGCCTGGATGAAAATGTTGCTGCGAGTCCAATTGGTTCGAAGGTGCCAAAGCCTAACAGGCACGTGATGTTAATTGCTTTCGCTTGCGTCGGAGGATTAGTAGTTTTGCTACTGATCTTAGCTGCTACTTTGATCTGTTCCCGACGGCAAAAGAAGCCAAAGCAATATTCACTGGCATGGTTATCTTTTCAAATGGGGAACTCAGAAACTAAAATTTCGGCAGGTAGTTTTGCTTCATCCACACCTTCACTTGGCTTGGAGCGTGTTCTGGCTTTCTCTGAGATTCGTGAATCTACAAAGGACTTTGATGAGAGCTTGGTCATTGGTCTGGGTGGGTTTGGCAAAGTCTACAAAGGAGTGCTGGACAATGGGGTCGTGGTTGCTGTCAAGAGGGGAAATCCAAAATCTCAACAAGGACTAATCGAGTTTAGGACAGAAATCGAGATGCTTTCTAAACTTCGCCATAGACACCTGGTATCTCTTATAGGTTACTGCGAAGAACTGAATGAAATGATCCTTGTCTATGAGTTCATGGCTGGAGGACCCCTTAGGAAGCACTTGTATGGATCAGATCTTCCTCCCCTTTCATGGAAACGAAGACTGGAAATATGCATTGGAGCTGCAAAAGGACTGCATTATCTTCACACAGGAGCAGCAGACATTGTCATCCATCGAGATGTCAAAACAACCAACATATTGTTGGACGACAATTTCACTGCAAAAGTGGCAGATTTTGGTTTATCAAAGCTTGGACCTACACTTGATCAAACTCATGTAAGTACTGCTGTGAAGGGAAGCTTTGGATACCTTGATCCTGAGTACTACCGAAGACAGCAGTTGACAGAGAAGTCTGATGTTTATTCTTTTGGAGTAGTACTCCTAGAGGTTTTGTGTGCTCGGCCAGCTATAAATCCTGCACTTCCCAGAGAGCAAGTAAATATTGCAGAATGGGCAATGCACTGGCAGAAGAAGGGGCAATTGCAGAAGATAATAGATCCCCTTCTCATGGGCTCTATTAGCGCAGATTCACTTAGAAAATTTGGTGAAACAACAGAGAAGTGTTTAGCTGAATATGGAAATGAAAGGCCAACAATGGGAGATGTTCTGTGGAACTTGGAGTATGCTCTTCAGCTTCAAGAGGCTTCTACTCAATCAGTGCTAGATGATAATAGTGCAAACCACATCCCAGAGGTACCAGGATGGATACCTCGTGTTGAGTCTGTTGAAAGTGATGACATTGACATTGTCAGCAACCAAGAATCTGATGCCACCACTTCTACTGGAGTATTCTCCCAGCTGATAAATCCAAAGGGTAGATAAGGAGAGATCTGAACTACTTCAGCTGCATAACTAAATATGTTCATTTCTCTACATTTGCTGTTTCAAATGTAAGATTTAGCTTGCATAGGTTAAGGAAGTAGCTATCGACCTTGATCATTATAGTATACGCACATACATTCATCTCTTTGTGGATCAAATGATAGTAACTTTTGATTGATAGCTGAGAACTTCGTATTAGATTCTGAATTGAACCCCATTTGCTCTCCAGGGTGACTTTAGATGACTTCTCTTCATAAAGTTTGTCGCAAGTGTTGTAGAGCTCTTACAGGGTTCACCACCGAACATATTCTTCTGCATATTCATAAAGTCAACTTCCTTATCAAATAAAAGTAGATAAAAAATATGTACAGAATTTTAGCTTCCCGAATTAAAACCTGATGACAAACTGGCGAACCATATAGTGAGCTCCTGCCAACCACATCCAAAAGCTATTGAGGTCCCTAGGTTACACCATAATGTAAGTCGCCTGATTCCTGCTATCTAGTGTACAAAAGATGAAGGAAAAGAGAGAATTCAGATCAAGAAAATTAGTTGGACGTGTGAGTATTAATGACATTGCAAAGAAAAAGGTACTAGCACCTGTGAATGTAACTATTAAGAGTTCAAAAGAATTGGTTAGATGATGGCTGTGCAAGCTCCCATTAGCTTTTGCAGTGTAGTAATTTTGACTGTCCAAACTGCAGAATTATGAGGTTCATGTATTGCAGGAAGCATACTAGGCGATGACTTGCTCATAGTAATGCATCGCCATGATGGCCAATGCAACTAGATTCTTTACACCATAAAAGGAGCCTAATAGTGATAACTAAGTATATAACTGATATCTATCAATACAGGTTCTTTATCAGTGGCATTCAGAACCTTAAAGAGGATTCCAGATCTTACGAGGAATAGCAGGAATGGAAGAGAAATTCGCTTTAGAAGAGATTCCAAGTGAATTTTGCACTACTTTTTAGTTAGCCAGGAGAGTCCCTATGCAAATTATGATTTCCCAATTGACAGGGTGAAACCACTGGTTTTAGAAAAAAGCACCAAGTCTGGACTTAAACTATAATGGTAGGCTCTGAGTAAGATGGTATTCCTCATATTTGAATCATGATCTCCCATCAGCATGTTACCATTAAAAGAGGTCTCCCAAGGCCAGAAAATTATGTCCATTTCATGTTTCTAGAGTAACTGCAATTATGTCTAGTGGAGTTTTATTAGAAGAATACACATGCTATTTGTCGTAGTACATCTTTTAGAGCATAAATACAGTCAAAATTTCTGGACGGTCGATTTTGTAGAGCCAATTACAAAGCAGCCCTTTTCTAAACCAACATGAGATTGAAATGCTTAAATAGTACATTACTACACACTCAATCTGGAACTTGGACCTAACAACAGCACTTTTAATTGGCTCTCCAAGTTCAGAGGAGGGCATGGACTAAATCATCACCAAACAAGTGGCACTTGTGGGACGAAGTTATAGACTTGTTCAGTTAGGCTCATTACCCGATTGTAACGTTTCCAAAGCCCTTTTTGTCGGCTATATAAGTTGAGATTATTGAACTACTCTAACTCAGGTGTAGATCAATATAGTGAATAAAAGAGGAAGGGCTGCAAGCTAAAATTTACTGCTAGAATTGATCTTTGATTGATTGAAAAAGCGGAGCAGCAGAAGTTGCAAAAATGCCCATCTACAGAATTGCAATCGGGACACCAGGAGAGGCAAGCCATCCAGATGCACTTAAAGCAGCAGCTGCTGAGTTCTTCTCCACGCTCATTTTCGTTTTTGCTGGCGAAGGCTCTGGCATGGCCTTGAGTAAGTTCTCATTATCAATAATAGGTTTAACCCGCTCTATATTGGCATTATACGGTAATGGGTTTAAATGTGTGCTGAATTTGTGAGATTCATTGAGTAAAAGATGAGCATCATCTATTGATGAGAAAGAATTGGCCATAAGGCACCGTTCAAATACTATAAAATGCCTTAAATTTTTGATGGCAGATAAACTCACGAATAACGGACCACAAACAGCATCGGGGCTAATAGCTGCAGCAATATCGCATGCATATGCACTTTTCGTGGCTGTTTCGATTGGTGCAAACATCTCCGGAGGCCATGTCAACCCTGCTGTCACCTTTGGTGCCTTAATTGGGGGTAACATAACACTGCTCAGAAGCATCTCGTATTGGATAGCACAGTTACTGGGATCCACTGTTGCCTGCTTGCTTCTCAAACTCGCTACCGGCGGATTAGTAAGCCCATAACCTCTCATGATCATGCAATCATGTCTGGATCATATAAATTCCTAAACCCTCTTAGTATTAATCACTCGAGTTTCTTGAAAATTATTTGATCAGGAAACACCTGCATTCACGTTATCATCTGGCGTATCAGTGGGGAATGCATTGGTACTGGAGGCTGTGATGACTTTCGGCCTAGTCTACACGGTTTATGCTACTGCAGTTGATCCCAAGAAGGGAAATATAGGTGTGGTTGCACCCCTTGCAATTGGGTTCATCGTGGGAGCTAATATCTTGGTTGGTGGCGCTTTTGATGGAGCTTCCATGAATCCTGCAGTCTCCTTCGGACCAGCTGTGGTGAGTGGCGTATGGACTCACCAGTGGGTGTACTGGGCAGGCCCTATGCTTGGTGCTGCCATTGCAGCCCTTGTCTATGATAACATCTTCATGGGTGACAGCACCCATGAAAGATTGCCTGTCACAGATCATTAGGCCAAGACTATATATCCTTCTGAGTTTTGGTATTGGCAATTTTGATTTCTCAATTTTGTCATTAATTCAGGGGAGGGAGTAAAATAAATTAAAGAAAGATGAGAAGGTTAAGCATCAAATGTAGAGAGGTTGCTTTATTTGGTTTTTCTTGTATCTTAGCAATTAAGCATGGTAGTATACTTTTCCGCTACGTGCATGATATTTGTGACGAGTTCCCCAGACAGGACTTTCCTCAATTGCAGTATTAGTAGATTAATACAGCTTCCTCTTTTCCTTCCTCATTTTTATTTATTTATTTATTTTTTTTGCAAGTTTAAACTCCATGGTGCGTTTGATAACTAATCGGCTGTTAAATTGCATACTGGGAGAATAACAAGTAACAAACTATGAAAACCTTTTTATATTATGGAGACATCTTTAAGCTTTGTAATTACTCTTTATCTTTTCTTAAATTGTAGTATACTATCTTGTATGCTATAAGTTGTAACCGAGAATTAATAATAATACCTTAACAAAATTTCCTTTTTGTTAGCCTTGATAAGAAGTCACTCTAACTGTAAAGTATAAGGAAATATGTACAAAATTAGAATTCGCTCTAGATAAACCTATGAAAATTTCTCCGGAATATGTTTATATGAAATATAGGGCCTGTTTGGAACCTGAGTTTTTTGGGAGTTTGTCTAAAACTTTACTGTAGTGTACTGTAGAAGTTTTTGAAAAAATTTTGTAGAAGTTTTTGTAAGGTGAAAAACTTTTTTGTAGAAGTTTTTGAAATGTTACTGTAGACGTTTTTTGGATTATTTTTAGAGGTATTTTTAAAACATATTTTTGAGTATTTTATAATTTATAATTTTTATACTTTTATATTCTTAAACATTTATGCATTTATAAATATTTAGAAATAAATATAAATGTATAAATGTATAATTAATATAAATGGATAAATTATAAATGAATATTATATAAATGTATAAATTATAATTTATAAATGGATATGATGATTATGTATAAATGTATTAATATAATTAATATAAATGTATAAATGTATAATTAATATTGTTTATAATTTATAATTTTTATTGTTTAAATATTTATATGCATTTATGCATTTATAAATATTTATAAATAAATATATTTATATATTTATATAAAAATATATAAATGTATTATATTATATATAATACATAATATACATATATTTATAAATGTATAAATGTATAATTAATATAAATGTATATATTATAAATGAATATTATAGAAATGTATAAATTATAATTTATAAATGTATATGATGATTATGTATAACTGTATTAATATAATTAATATAAATGTATAAATGTATTAATATTATGTATAAATGTATAATTAATATTGTTTATAAGTTATAATTTTTATTGTTTAAATATTTATATATATTTATGCACTTATAATACATTTATAAATAAATATATTTATATAGTTATATAAAAATATATAAATGTATTATATTATATATAATACATAATATAAATATATTTACAAATGTAATAATTGTATATTATTATAAATGAATATTATATAAATATATAAATTAATATGTTATAAATGTATAAATATATAATATTATGTATAAATGTATTAATATAATTAATATAAATGTATAAATATATTAGTATTATGTATAAATGTATAATTAATATTGTGTGTTAATATTATGTATAAATGTATTATGTTATACATAATACATAATATAATTGTATATAAATATACATAAATATATATACATAAATGTGTAATATATATAATATGTATTATATATATTAAATATATAATATATAATATTTATATAAATGTATAATTACATATTTATATTAATATTAATTTATATGGTATATAATATTTATATAAATGTATAAAAATATATTTTAAATAAAATAAAATATTTATAATATGTTTAAATAAATATATAAATATATAATATTATAAATATATAATATATATAATAAATTTTTGAGGGTGAGGGACTCAAAAATTCAAAAAAATTTTTTGAGGTTGCCGGCGGCGCCGGAATAGGTGATCGGCTCGAGGAGAGGTGGTGGAGGCGGTGTCTGGTGTGGTGGGTTGGGTGAGGGAGGAAGAAAATTTTTTGAGAAATTTTTTGTGTATAATTTTTGAAGTGTGTAGGTAAAAAACTTTGAAAAGGTTTTTGGGGTTCCTGTAGCAAAAGTTGTTAAAAAACTAGTAGCTAAAAAACTTGGTAAAAAACTAGGGTGCCAAACAAGTCCATAATTTACACTTGACTGTTAAAATTGAGGGGCGAGGTTAGTGTAATTTCAGCAAATGAGGGTGAGTAGCCTGTAGTCACGTCAACCAATGTGACCCCTTTTTTTTTTGTCAATTAACACCATCTATTCTACTCCTACTCTTATTATAGCCTATTTTAAGGGAAGGTACTGAACCAATTTGAGTACTGATCGAGACTAAATCACTTTCGGATTAGATAGGTACACTATGCACCATATGAATTTTTTGGTAAAGCCACATGTAGTGGCAATGGAAGACAAAATTTGAACTCTTAACTTTCCACTCCACTAAAACTTCAAAAGAATTTCTTAAAGTCTACCACGTACGCCATGATACACACTTTTCAGGTGTATTTGGATAGACCCTATTTTTGCACTTTTCAGGTGTATTTGCCTTGGACCAAAATTTGGATAGACCCTATTTTCAAAAATCTAATAGTGTAGATTGTGTCACATTACTTAATGAGATGATGTGGCACAATCTAGATTATTGACTTTTTGAAAACCGGATTTGCTCACACTTTGTGTAAATTGATTTGACCCTTAAAAAAAAAGGATAAAATCTCTATTTTAGCCTCTGTCATAAATTGATGAAATAGTTACTTCCAAATTTTTTTAGAGAAAGCAAAAATCTAACTTACTAACCATAAGAATACATAAAATATCAATTATTATTCTTTCTTATATTTATATCATTTTCCTAATTAACTTTATTTTTAATAATTTAATATTTAAACTATGAGTGTGTTTGGATAAGAGATTATTTGAGATAGAAAAATTTGTCAAATTGGTCCCTAATATTTACCAAAAACACTTTTTTAGTCCCTAACATATAAAATCAGTCAAAATGATCCTTCACATTTAAATTGTGAGCCAATTTGGTCCTATTGCTCATTTTTGTTCGTTTCTCCGGTTAAAAATAGCACGCCCCCCTCACGTGGTCATATTTTTAGGGGTAAAAATAACACGCCCCCTCTGCTAAGACTGATTCACATGGATTTGTTAGACCTATACCTCCAGTTCCTAAGTCAAATACTCAGATGTCTGAGGATCTCATGGTAGATGCACCATTGGGAAATCGACAATCTACATCAAACTATTCTACTGCTGCAACTATTCCAGTGAGTATCATAAACATCTTTTGCTTGTCAAATACTCATATTTTACCTTTATGTTGTCTAACAAGCCTTCGTTAAAATTGTCAAGATGGAGAATATTGGGAAGTACAAGTGCTCTATCTGCCACCAATATGGTCACACCAAAGGCAGGTGCACTTCCACTGTTGCAGAGCTTTCTCGAGGGCAGGCACATGAATCTTCAAAGATCAGTGAAAAGCAAAAGAAAAATTGAAGTGCTGGTGGCTTGTTTAAGCATCTTTTGGTGGCTTTTGCTACAACTTTTATGTTGTATTTTGCTTTTGGGATATTATAGTTCATGTATTACGACTTGAGCTAAGACTTTAGCACTGCTGTAAAGAGCATCTTGGCTGTTAGTTTTTGCTGTAAATATTTTGCTGTTAGTTTTTGGCACTGCTGTAAAAAGCATCTTAGCTTCTTATCTTTTGTGGAACTGAGTTTGGCCAAGTTTCTTTTCCCTCTATTAAGTATTTTGGACGGGTATAATTCTGTTCTTGGCTAGTCTAAAGCAAGTAAATAATTTCTATGTGCATGATATGAGAGATCAATTTTGGTGCCTCCTTAGCCTCTGATGTTTTGAAAAGTTTTTGCATAATGTATTAGGTTCAACAAGCTTGGCTCCATAGATCAAGGAGATGGACAAGATGTTACCATCCTGCTGTATCTGATCTTATTTTTTATGTTTGTACTGTTATGTGGTTCTAATATCTGGTTGATATGATACATTCATGGGGTCACCTGAAACAGTTGGCAAGAGAACTTCTATGTATGTTACTGCAGTATCTAGATATTTGCACTATTGCTGCCAAAATGGGGTCCTTCAGAAGTTGATAGTACATTTTTCTTTGTTGTTAGGACTGGACCAGTAGCAGAAATGATCGATAACCATGTAGCTCTTTAAGATTTGACCAACCGAAACAATTTTATTTAGATCATATTGATACTTTTATCTTAGTTTAGTAAACATACATTTGGTTGTAAAGTTTCCATTAACAATATCTTATAGGTTTTGAATTTTCAGTTTCTGGAATTTTATATTTGTTCCTGTGAAATGGTTAGTCATGAGCAACATGTTCGCAGGACAAGCTTATCATTTGTTATTTTTTGATAAAATTGCATTCACAGAATAGATGTAACCTTTCATTGCCATTTACTTCTGCTGTTGTGTGAATCCATCCATTCTTATCAATTGTTGATGTTTAAATTTGAGTGTATCTGCAGCTTATTATCTTCAAATTCAATGTTAAGAGACATGGCCATTCATCATCTTCACTTTTACATTAGTAAATTTCTCTTTCCGACAATCAATTGACCAAAAAGCAATTTTGCATTCATAATTGTAAATGGTACAAACATGAGCCTTTCCTATTACACAATAATTACCAAAAGTGCTGCTGTTACTATTACACAACCATTAACAAAAGTGCAGCAAGTACAAAAAGCCTCCTCATATTTTGGATGCTGCTACATGCTCTCGGATTCACATCCTTCGATAAAGCCAGACAGAATTAAAACAACATGTTAGACCCACCAATAACTATCTTCCAATTTTTGTTTAATTCCAGCTTATTAACAACAGCAAAGTACACATCCAAGAGGCAACCAAAGCAGTTCAAAGCAATTTTTCTCTTCGGATTCGCTGTTCTTGATCAGCTTGTAGTCGGTTGATTGATCTTAATAGACCAGGTATTATTGACACAGATCTACTACACATTGGCGGGTCATACTACTTGAAGTAATCACAAGCACGAGTTACCTAAAATGCACGAAAAACCTCAGATATCAAGACCAAATTTTAACCCCACATCCCAAACCCAAACTGACCTGAAATTTCAAGAAAACTTACTCCATAATTTGGACAACCATAGAATCTTCTCCCCGGATTTGCAAGTTTTCAAGAAGTTACAATGATGGGTTCCTTTCCACAAAGACATCGCTCGTTTGGATCCATTTTACTCTTTAAAGGTTAGCTTTTACTTCTGAATTTCTTGCTACTGTGTTTTCCGCTTCAATTCAATGGGTTAGTGAGGCGATTAGATAAAGGAAAGATGATTTTTTTCAATCGGTAATGAAATGTGTTTTTCGATTTTGCCCCTAAAAATATGACCACGTGAGGCTTTTAGCTGGAGAAATGAGCAAAAAACGAGCAATAGGATCAAATTGGCTCACAATTTAAATGTGAATGATCATTTTGGCTGATTTTACATGTTAGGGACTAAAAAAGTGTTTTTGGTAAATGTTAGGAACCAATTTGGCAAATGTTAGGGACCAATTTGGCAAATTTCCCTTTGAGATATTATTTGAAATCATTACTATAATATTTTTTATGATAGGGCAAATTATCCAATTGGCCATTGAACTCTTTGTTTAGATAAAAATAAATCTCTCATCTATTTTTTACTGACTTTAGACCCTCAAACTTGTAAAATTGGACACCCATAACTCTTTTAGCCAGTTTCTCCGATTTTGCAACTGGAAGGCCAATTTAAACGAATGCTAGTGTGCTTCTTCAAAGGACATTTTTGTCCGCATCTTCTAAATAAAAAAGGAACAACTCCTCCACCTCCTCTCCACCTTGGTTCAACCAGCCCAGTCTCTTGCTCGTCCTCCCATCTCCAAATTCTCCGTCGGGGCCGTCGGCCTTGGCTCCGACAGCCGCGTTTTTATAGATGTCAATCTCGAGTTCCCTGTTCTCCCCTTAAATCAATCCGTCCACGCAGAGCAGTTCCTCTGCAACAACCTCACCGTCCATGGTTGCCCTCGCTTCATTGCTCTCGCCGTTTCCGCCGCCCCTTATGGCCACTGCCGCCAGTTCTTCTAAGAACTCCGGGATTCTTCTTCTCTCCAAATCCTTATCACCTCCGACCACTCAAATCAAAACTTTTCAAAATCTCCCCTCCTCTTTAAGCCATTGGCGAAATTCTTAACCAACCCATTTGGCCCCTGTGATCTGTTGGATAAAGAATCTCTTCTCCTTCTCAAACCCCATAGCAATGGGCTATCTTTTGATACTTCCCGAAAACACACAAATTTGTGTAATGGCTATTCAAAAGAATTCGAACTTGATGGGCATTTTAAAAATTTAAGCAATGGGTTTTACGAAGAGTTGGAAGAAAGTGAGGCCCTTCTGAGGATAGAAGCCTTGGAGGCTGCTAACAAGTCACATGCACCGTATAGCGGGTGCTCATCCGGGGTGGCCCTGATGGATCCCAAAGGGAAAGTGTACAGGGGATCATATATCGAGTCTGCAGCATATAATCTGAGTTTGGGGCCGGTTCAGGCTGCATTAGCGGCGTATATAGCTGGGGGAGGAGGTGGATACGAGAGAATTGTGGCGGCAGCTCTGGTGGAGAGGGAAGGTGCTAAAGTCAGTCATGTGGAAACAGCGAGGTTGCTGTTTAAGAGGGTCTCACCTAAGTGTGAGTTTAGGGTGTATCATGGCTCTTCTGTTGAGAATGGATGTAAAAAAGCTTCAGAATGATATGAGGTAACAAATAGTATTCAGGGTAGATGTTGTGATTGAATTGCTTGCAATTGTGGATTTTGTACGTCAGATATCTCAATCGCAAGTGAAGGGATGAGTCAATAATATTTGAGAATCTAAGTTCTTCGTTTCTATAAATTTTGTTTTTGGTGTGTGTGTGTTTCCTATTTTCATGGGATCCTAGTTGCATAGGCTATATGTGTATCATTGCAATTGCTATGTGATCTCTTCACTTGAACTCACTCCTACTCTTTGTGCTTATGGATGTGGTGTCTCACCAGAGACAACTATGGTGGTCTTGCCGAGAATAGCGGCTGCAATGGCATCTCCATTGGAAAGTTTGGATGAGGATAGTGTTTTAGCGGCTAATTTTGATAGGACTGGTGTCCAGAGTGGGGGAGAATTGGGCAGTCGAAGGAATAGCTATGACTTTGCTAGTGGGGAGATTCCTGAAAACGGTGGTAGCACTCTCCTGTAGAGAATGAGGAGAGAGAGTGTGGCGGCAACGAGGGTTTTGTAGAAATGGAAGAAAGAATGAGGAGTTGTTCCCTTTTTGCTTAGAAAATGTTGACAAAAATACTCTTTGAAGAAGCACACGGGCATTCGTGTGAATTGGTCTTCCATTTGCAAAACCGGAGGAATTGGCTAAAAGGGTCACGAGTGTTCAATTTTACAAGTTCGAGGGTTTAAAGTCATCAAAAAAATAGATAAGGGGCTTATTTTTACTTAGACAAAGAGTTCAAGGATCCATTGGATAATTTTTCTTTTACGATATGATGTATGTGAAATAAAAAATAATTAAAAAATAAAAAATGAATAGAAATTGTAGTTGTATTCCTGAAAAAAAAAAAAGAAATTGTAATTATGATACAAGCGAAATATACCTTGACGAATGGACGCGTCTAAATTAAAAATTAAGAAAATTTTGTATCGTTTTCGGACAAATTAAGAAAATCAGTAAAAATCAAAACGCATCGTTTTACAGGTGAACTGACTGGCATTTTTAGGGGTTTGTGATTCGGATTCTGCTAAAACCCTCAAGCAGCCCCAAATTCATTGGTCTCTAGTTGGGGCTCCAAATCCCCGAACGTTACAGGCGATTGAAGAGAATGGTTTTGTCGAATAAGAAGCTAAAGCAGACGCTTAGAGCGGCTAAAGCTGAATTATTGGCAGCTTCAGAAGCTCAAAACCAATCCATAAACAAAAATTTCCAGAACCCGGAATACCCAGATTTAGGGACCCAAAAATCTCTCAATTCCCTTCTTGAGTCAGCATCCCAGAAGCCCAGATTGTCAAAGAGAGAAAAACGCAGACAAAAGGCACCTTCTTTGCAAGAAAATGAAGAGAAATTGAATAAAGACGAAGATGCTGGGTCAGGGGGTATGGCTGAATATGAAAAGAGGAAAAACAAAAGGAAAAGAGATGAAAATCAGGAACTGGAAAATGGGGAGGTGAAGAAGGTGAAAAAATTGAGCAAAAAGAAGAAAAAGAAGAAGAAGAAAAAGAAGAAAGAGAGGAAGGGGAAAGAAGTGGAGGAGAATGGAGAGGTGCAGGAGAGCTTGGGAACTGAGGCCGGTGTGATTGATGACCAAGATTTAACACAGAGGCTTGATTATGATAATAGGTATGTTAGCTAATATAGTTCGCAATTTGTTTCGATGATTCCATCTTCTTTTTTAAAGGGTTCAGCTATTTTAGTCATCAGCTGAAGTAATTTTATTTATCTATCTATCTGTTTGTTGGCTTCTGCTTTTTTGGAATGATATGAACAATGCTAAACATTTCTCATGGAGTTAAATGATGATTTATGTGTTATTATTTTGACATTGAAGTTTGAGGCTGTTGACAGCCATCGTTGCTAGCTGTTTTTCAACCTCTTTTCCAAGTCGTTATTTGCTAATTCATCGGTTGTTGGACACCCTTTTGCACTAGTTTTATAGTGATTGTCTATGTCAAAAACCGAAGTGGAAGGTCTAGAGAAGAAACTTGAAATAATAAGTTAGATATCTTACTCAAGAAACTGAGTCATCAAAAGGTGTTGCCTTTGATAACTGGTTTAGATGGGTGTTAATTATCAGTCTGGTAATGCAAAGATCATGTCTTTGTTTAGGAGCTTCCGCACAAATTTTTCATGGATTTAATTGTCAATAATTGGTAGAATTTTTTGCATTTGCAAGGTCTGAGCTAAGGGACCTTTTAGTTACATGTGATCTCACGATACTGAGCTGCCATTGATTTTATTATATTTTCTTTGCTCTTCATTTTCTCGTGTTATTGTTACTGCAGTGAAGGAAGTTTGGATGCCGGTACTAAAGTTTATGTTGGAGGTATACCATACTACTCGAGTGAAGATGATATTAGGAGTTATTTTGAAGGTTGTGGCACCATAACTGAAATTGACTGTATGAAGTTTCCAGAGAGCGGAAAATTCAGAGGGATTGCCATCATTAGTTTCAAGGTATGTTCTGTAGTGATCTGGTTATGATGCTAAAATATTGCTTGTTTGTTACACTTCAGTGTCCATGAAGACAGTTCGTATTTATAGCTTGTTGTGGAATCCTTGTCTCATTGTTAACCAATTGCAGACTGAAGCTGCAGCAAGGAGAGCATTGGCCCTTGATGGGTCTGACATGTAAGTAAAACTTATAAAGACTTTCTTTAGTTCCGATAAAAGTTAATGTTGTTTTTTGTCATGCTGAAGAAATTACTACATCTTGCAGGGGAGGCCTATTCCTAAAAATTCAACCTTACAAATCTGCTAGAGTTACCAAAACGTCTAACTTTGCTCCTAAAATTGTGGAGGGGTACAATAGGATCTACGTTGGAAATTTGTCCTGGGATATCACTGAAGATGAATTGAGGAAATTTTTTTCAGTCTGCAATATTTCGTCCATCCGTTTTGGTGAAGACAAAGAAACAGGAGATTTCCGAGGTTATGCCCATGTGGATTTTTCAGATAGTCTTTCCCTGAACACAGCATTGAAATTGGATCAGAAGATTGTTTGTGGAAGACCCATTCGAATATCATGTGCTGTTCCAAAGAAAGGATCAGAAGATAAGACAAAACCGTTACCAGAAAATAATCAAGCTGTTGGTGATGGTGCGACTGCTGTTAGCGGGAAGATTCGGAGGAGGACATGTTACGAGTGTGGAGAGCGTGGCCACCTTTCATCTTCTTGCCCAAAGAAGCAAACAGCTGACCAAACGAGTCTTCAAACAAGTTAATTTTGTAAGACATCTAACCTTGTAGTTTTCTTCAAGTTTCAATTGTATAAGGTCCAAGAAGTCATTTGCGCTTCTTTTAAAATTATTGTTTCAGGAATCCCTTAACAAGTTGGAGTCCGAATTTTGTTGATTTTTCAAACGTTCTATGTTACGCAGCGTGCAAGAAAATTTTCATCATTTTTGTGCTTTAGGGATAGGCAAGTCTTACTATTCCTGTCAGTGTAAAACTACTCCATTTGATCTGCTGGTTCTTTGTAGAATTGTATATTCAATTCTTTTCCATTTTTGTTTTTAACTTTCATTTTGCATCAAGGCAGTCGTGTTGGGAAGTGTACGTGTTTTTGAAAGACAGCCCAACGTGAGTTTACGTGCTGTGTTAGTAATTAAATGTTAGTTTCAGTCTCGATTTGCCATTTGCAGTCATCTCCTTGTCAATTTTTGAGGTCACAAACCAATGGAATTTGGCCAAAATGCAAACACACAAGCAATGACACAAAGTGGCAAGTACCATTCTAATGAATTTGTGCCGACACTACAATATGGCACTAAGAGGCATAGAAGGGTTTTTTTAGTTATGATGTCTGGTATGAAGTTGAAACTGCAAAAGTAATCTTTTAAGTGGACTAAAGCAAAGATTGTGCCAAATGCTGCAGGCGGACTGGCTCTCGAGGTCCAAGGAGCTGGAAGGCATAAGATGATTTTTTTCTGACATTTTCTTGAAGAAACTCAAGAATTCGGCAAAATAAATCTAGATCCCCGAACAACTTTCAAAAGCCGGCAACTTTTGAAGGCGCCTAAGGGACTTATCTACCCATTCTCAAACCCTCCCACTACCGATGTGGGAAAGAACCCCCACAGGAGCAAGTCCAGCAGGGCGGCTTCTACTAAGAGTTAACTAACCCCCACCAACCCCGGTATGACCCCCCCCCCCGGCATAAGATGATTTAGCTTCTGTTTTATTGCAGTGTAGAATCTGTCTCGTATCACACTGAAATTGGAGTCTGAGAAAGCACAGAGACTCCTCCTCTTAGTCCTCAAAATATAAATTCCTTCCCCAGTTTCACGGGTGGCTTGGCTTTGACTTTGGAAACTGGAAACTGGTAACAAGGGAGCTTAATTGTTTGTTTGTGAATTTGGCCCGTGAGTCGGCTTTCTAGTCATAGGTCCTGATTCACCACCATTGTGTTGGAAATTTTCCCCCGTGATGTTGGCATTCTCCCCTACAATGAACTCCCAGGGGTCAACGGGCTACTACCCAAGAAATACTCCTGCTTCACGTCGAATTTCTCCGAGTGATCTTCTCTTTACTGCCACTGAGCAGCTCACCAGTCTTCGTCCAAATTCTACCTAGGTAATTTGACATCTTCCCGTCTTCATCCTAGCTCTGCAGCATGTTTCAATACCCTCTCCAAATTATCTTGTTATCTTAAATTAATAGGTTCAGACTGAAAATAACTTCTTAATTTCTACTTCTTTTTTTTTTTTTGGAACAGAAGAAACAATTTCAACCCCTCGATGATACAAGCTAATCAATATTAGTTGGGATATTTTCTAATATTAGTACTACTGCCAGAAATTTGATAAAAATTGAAGGTTGCCCAAGATTAGAAGCAAGAAAGTTCTTCAACTTCGTTATGCAACAACAAGTATCGAGTACTCTTATCATTATTATAGTTATTTGTAACATCAAAAACAACTTACAACCGACAAACTCACCTACCCGAACTGTTCAGACGTCCCAAACTTTTATTCTTCAAATCTTTTTTAAGACTTTATATACTAACGCATGCGCTGTACTGCTACTACTAATTAATTTCCACATAAATTGTGCTGCTATTAATTAAACTGTATTGTCACCGTCCCAAAAGAATTGGTATTGTTGTAGGATCATTGGCTACCAAAAGACACAGATCCGAAAGAGGATGGATACTAGCAGCTACTATAAGACTAGTTCAATTTTCAGCAGGAAATCATGAATTTTAGCACCGGATTTGCGGCGGGTATTAAGACCCATGGTTTGTTGGTTAGCTACTACATGTCCCCCAGCCCCCAAAAGGGCCAAAACCCAGCCTTAAGTCTCCGAAATTAGTTAAGGGTACGTTTGGTTCTATAGAATTAGAAATGAATTAGAATTGAAATTCTATAGAATTAGAATTCTATGAATTGGAATTCCAAGTCATTTCAATTCTTTCGTTTGGGAAATGCATAGAATTGATACGGAATTTATTTGAAATTCCAAATTCTTTGTTTGTATGACAGAAGAATTCATTAGGAATTAGAATTGTTTTCATGAAACATTTGCTTACATAAAATTTTTCTTTTTTTTTCTTTTTTATATAATAATTTCTTTTTTTTCTTACATTTAGCTAATTTTTACTAAAGATTTAAAAGAAAGAACCAATTTGTGCCTTTAATAATTTATTTTTTCCCACTCTCATATCAATTTCTTTGGTGAACATTTCCAGACTTAGGTTGTGCTAAGCATAGCATTAACGAGACGTGTCATATTGACTGCCTTCTTTTGTTCAAGTATGGTATAGATATTGGCATCCAACCAAAACTGGACCTCACCCCCTTAAAAGTAAATCCCCAATGACACTAGCATATTTCTTAAAACATGGTAGAATACTAGACAGTGAATTAGTCACTAATTAACTCAAATAGTACGTTTGTAAAACAATTTAATTAACATTCTCAACAAATAAATTCAGTTTACTATTCGAATTCTGAATCTAACAGTTGATGGTGGAAAAGGGTGTGGAGAAAGGTGGAAGGACCAAAAAGAAAAAAAAATCCAACATGCCTGAGTTATACTGGACACTATTTTTTTTATTGCGGACTGCAAGCAGTAATTCAAAAAAATAAGGATCCAATGGCTAGTAAAGGAGCCACTGACTGCATGAAAAAGACGAAGCACTGTCAAAGCTTATTTTATCACCCTTTTAATACGTGTTGATACTCGTATGCATACTTGCTACTGCTGCTATTTCTGCAGTCCAGCAGTGCACTACACCTCCTCTTCATGTAGGGTAGTGCAGCATTTGGAGGCACGCCACATCCACATTGTCAATTGTTTTACAAACGTACTATTTGAGAAAGAACGCAAAGGTTCATGCAGCTAAAGGACAAGTCAGGGCATCAACACAGGCAGCTATGTTAATCTCAATATCTAAAATGCTATTTCATCAGACAAAAGATCCAATGTCCCATTCTTATCATCTCAAAAACAGATAGAAAATAGCTGAAATACTCCCTCGAATCTTTCTATAATCTTGTTTTGATCCATTACATAAAAAACAAAGAACTCATCAGAATTTAAAAAGTCATGGATACACGATGGAGTAGTAACAACTTCTACTTGCTCTACTTGGGCTTCCAGCAATCAGCTCAACTTCTTCTACAAAAATAACTTCAACTGGAGATTACCCAAAAAAAAATCAATTACCAATGTGCATCAATAGCCAATCCTTTTTTAAAGTCATCTCCGAGACCAGAAAAAGTGTCATACTTTGTCCTGTCATTCATAAGTGAAATACCCTTTGCCTTTCCTTTTTGACTGAGATGTTGCTTCAGATGCCATATCTAAGGCAAATATGCACCAGAAAAACATCACAATGTCATGTTCTTAAGAATAGATTCAACAGCCACTGCATTATAGAATTAAAAGTGAGAGGCAAATATGCAACAGAAAAATCCATACATATGTTAAATGAAGAACTTATGCTGACTTATTTGGACGGAACCTTTTTGTAAAAGCAATTTGGAGATGTTGCTAAGATCATCACTTATGTGCACAAAATAGTTTGGAGATGTCCTAAACTTATTCTAGTGACTTAAAGCTTCTACTGGTAAGGATTTTCCAGCACACTGCAACAAAAGAAAGAAACAGAAAAGTCCCGACAAAGCTTTCTTTCTAGAAACAAGACTAATTGGCTACGAGAAACATCAGAATCCTTCTAAAGCCTTCTATGAGTCTCATCAAAAGGAAAGATTTAGTAGAGTCTCATTTAGAGGGAAGCTCTAATGGAGTTGCATCCTTAAAATTATCGATGGATAATCAGCTGAAATTCTACATAACACAAGAATTTAGTGTACTTCAAACCAAGAAGAATTAAACAAGAACAAGTTTCCGTAAATCATATGAGACATTAATCTTATCTAGATGATAGAGAAATAATATACATTGCAGAATATTGATAATTTACTAGAACACTGCTTGCACAAAATACAGGATATGAAGCAGACATGAACCACAACAAAGCTAAATATTTCATCTTTCAGTGTAGAATCCAAATGCAGTATCAATTTGTGGTTCCACAATGCAAAAGCTTCTAATAGATCTCAAAAAACCATTTTAAGGAAGACATACGAGATTACCCCTTTCATCTTCATCACCAATATGATTTTAAACTAACATTATATATTCCAACAAGCTAAAACTTGGACTCGATTTAACTAATTGAACTCAAACCCAAAATAAGAAAAAGGAAACAAACGATCAACTTGTGCTTTTTTTTTTTTTAATCCTTATTAACAGCATAAATCTAGAAGCCAAAAATACTAGAGCAAAATATCAGAAAATACAAAAAAAAAATTGCTGTTTGATTGGCAAAAATTTAGACAAATTTACCTTCACAAAACAAAACAAACCATTGCAATGTATCCAATGAAAAAAAAAGCTATGTAATAAAGCCCATAACCAATGATTAATTGAAAAAATTTCAAAGATCGAGTTACCTTTCACAAGCCCTAAATGTGTCTGAAATTTGGGGAAAGCGGGAGAGCTGAAGGAGAGAGCTCAGAAAATAAGGATGGGAGGAATAAAAATGATTACAGCAGCAATGGAGGAGCGGCAGAGGCTACCAAACTGATTGAGCCATATCCTTGTGAACTTGGTACTGGCTATGGTCAGCCTTGTTTATCTACGAAATTCGCATGGCGCAGCCCATATCACTTATAGCCACTGGATTTGAGCCAATTTACAGAAAGAAACCCTATAATTTCACTCTTAACATGCGTAAATGAAAGTAGATGTTCAATGCTGGGAAAAGGCAGAGGAGGAAGATGAGTAAGAGGAGAGACAAGGCGTCAGCAATGGAAGTATAGGTGGAGGCAGAGGAGGAAGTATGGGAGGAGAAAGAGCTGCAAAAGAAACGGTGGTTGGTCTGTGACAAGAGATAGAGAGAGGACTTTCATTTTCAGTTATGTTTTTGTTGATTATATAGAGACCCGTTTCACTGATTTAATCCATCTAGGATCCGCGTACTAACCCGAATAGGAGGTGAAATTATGGAATTGGAATTGTAATTCTTAGGTCCTACCAAAGAATTGAATTTGTGGAATTGATGGCCCGTAGAATTCGAATTGAATTCTAATTCTCTGGCATTGATAGTGTCCAAACCGAAGATTTGGAATTGGGACTTCAATTCTAATTCTAAGCCTCCAATTCTGTGGAAACCAAACACACCCTAAGTGAAATTCTGTACGGGGCATTGGCTTCCAAATCTCAACTGATAATACCCGCCACCTTCCTCTCTTTCCTAAGCCTTTGTCCCCCTCGTATATTTCTCTTCCACTCTTCCTCTTCCTACATATACCTACTACAACATCTATTCATGCACACGCCCAAGTGGGATTCCTCTACAGTCTAATACTCTTCAGATTTCCTATTTTTTTCCCCTTCTGATCTGAGTAAGAAAGTTGGGTGGATATGGCAGTGGCTAATTCCAGGCCTAGTACAGAGCTTTTGATGCCCAAGAAATGGAATGAGAGATCCGATAGGAGTCCTGAGAGAGCTAAGATATGTTCCGAACATCCAAAATTCAACTCCATTCTCGACGGGAAAGTCCCCGTCATTTACTACCTCGCCAGAAATGGCCACCTCGAGCACCCTCATTTCATCCAAGTTCCCCTCTCTTCCTCTCACGGCCTTTATCTAAGAGGTAACTCGTCTTCTTACTTCTGTGGGTTCACTTTATGCTTTTCTTTCCTTCTTTTTTGATAAATGAAATCAAATTGGGTTTGTTGCTTCGTCGCAGATGTCATAAATAAATTGAATTTTCTCAGAGGAAATGGCATGGCTCATATGTACTCGTGGTCCTCCAAAAGGTACACCATAAAAGATATCCTATAATTTTCCTATGCTCGAATTCAGATGAGATGAGTTTATTTTATTCCGAGCAACTCATGTTTTGGAGCATATATTTGTATGAACGAAATTTTGCCGAATATTTGACAACAGGAACTATAAGAATGGATACGTGTGGCAGGACTTAACGGAGGACGATTTGATTCAGCCGACCAACGATCGCGATTACATTCTCAAGGGATCAGAGCTGCTGCATTCCTCACCCACCGTCCGATCACTCCAACCAACCAAAAACGATGCTCACAATTCCTCTTCTTACTCGAGAAGGAAGAAAAATCGGTCCTGGGGCTCCTTTGATAATTCCACTTTCAAAAACGAGTACCGAGTTTACAAGTGCGAGTCGAGTCGCGAACTCGGAGGTAAGCTAGCTGACATGGCAACTCAGACGGAGGATAAGCGACGTTTGAGTAGGAGTTTGCGGGAGGAGTACTTTAACAAGAGCGTGGAGTTGTGTAGGGAAGAACTGTCTCCCCCGTCGATGCCTAGCTCGGAAGGATTGGACGGTGTGAGTGGATCTAGAGCCGTCGATCGATGTCCTGGAGTCGATGATCGTCGGACGGCTGAGAATGAGTGCACCAGTGGGAGAATCAAGCCTTCTCGTGTTCTGAATTTGATGCACTTGATTACTTGTGGATCGTCGATCGCGGTTAAGGATCGCGGTTCAATGAAGAAAAAGGACAGGCGGGGGTATTTGATGGGCGTGAAATTTGGAAGCACGGTGTTACGCCATGCAGGGAACCTATAAGGTTCTGCAAATTGCAATGTAACGTGAAAGGTTTACTTCTTATTAAGCCCTTCAAAACATGTTAATGTGCCGATCAGGCCCTTTAAAGTTTAAAAGATGATTATTGATGTCCCTTTCCATCTAGATTTGGCATTGCAAGGTGATTGTCATATTGGTCCAATCGTGTCGATAAAATCCCTACAATGCCCTCGAATATACTTGAGTTGTTACACTTGCACTGTTATCAACAATGGGATGAGTCGTGATTAAAGAATTAAACATATATGATGAATCCATCACAAAGCAACTAAAATGCCCTTGATTTGTATTTAGGAAGATGAGGGAGTCAAAGGTATAAAACTTTTGTATTAATCTTTTTTACATTGATCGTGTATATATTGTCAGTATTGGATAAATAACAAATATGTAAAATTTGAATTTAAAATTCAGGTTTTGCACGTTTGTCATGGATTTAACGGTGATAGTATACACATTATCAGTGCATATAAGATTTACTCAAAACTTTTTAGCGTTAAAAGCCTCGTATTTTTCTTTATCTTTTTTTTTTTTTTTCTAATCCCGTTCTTATAAGCTCAATGCTCATAATTCATCGTACGGGATACTCATTTTTGGTGGGGAAAAAAAGTTTTGTTGCTTGTAAAATTGTATTGGGCCTTTTAAAGTTAAATGGACTATATGACCAATGAGAAGAGAAAATAATCCATGAGATACATGGCCTTTCATTGCATTCATCGTTACCACACCATTGTACCTTCACCCTTGGGATTCCTCGGTTAATTTGTTTCTCATTTTTACGAAAAGTAACCTTCATTCAAAAGCTTATTAATGTTGAGAGCATTTGGATTTGATTTTTTTCGTTAGCTTATTATTTTCTATGGCATTGCATGTTGCATAGACGGGCGTACATAAAAGTAAATAGATAGATCTTAAATTAGTTTCCAATGAGAATGGAAATGGTTGTGGTGCTCTATCTCATGAGGACTTAAAGCCAAAAAAAAAGGCTAAAAAGAACAAAAAAATGAGAATCTTGGTCAAGAAATTTCTCGTCTTGCCTATGGATTAAAGTTATGTACGAAAATTAATACATTTTATTTGTTGGGAAGTGGTAGCGATCGGTTTGTAGGTTAGATATATAACCAAAATTATTCTTGGTAAATAAACATTTTTTTATGCTCTGGGTAAATAAACGTATTACTTCGTACAAAATATATAAACCATAAAAGGCAAAAACAGGCAAGATACGAGGACAGGAAAATGGAATTACCAAAAAAAAAAAGGGATGAGAAAACGGAAAGAGAAAAGCGTTCTCAGGAAAAGCGAGTTTCACGTGCTTCTAGATACGCTTTCAAGTTCCACACACTCCTGCTTACGAGAAAGCGCAAACGGTGCACCAGTGAGTCGTGAATACTCGTGATTGTGCGCCAGGATAAGAAAGCAAACGTTCGTCTTTGGAGATAGGAGGATATTTGATTTTGGGTTTTTTATTTAACCGATCTGACCCGACCGAATCTCTTTTTAGGACCGAATTTTACAATAGACTAGTGATAACGGGGTCAAATGCGAAATCAAGTAGTAGTAATTGGGGTTTAGGGTTTTAGGTACGAATGGAATCCAAGAAATTCGAAGCTAAGCTGCTTCTAAAGGATAAACGGTTCTGGTTCGCCTCTGCCCTTATTGTTTGGGCCGCTGCTCTCCAGGTATTGCCTCCATTTCATACAAATACGCTGTGAATAAATTGTATTTTCTGATGGAGTGGACTTGAATTCATATCTTGGTAACGGTAAAATGTGATCAGGGACATATGATGTGGTTACAGAGGCAAGATTCTTTCAAGCAGAAGTTTGGAAATGTAGAGCAGGACAAAGATCAAAGCAGGAATTAGCTGAAAATCATCACTAGTTGAATCATTTGCTCAAATTACTGTCTTTGTTACTTGTGAGCTCAAATGTGATGCTTTTTTATGTCCCTAGATGCTCATATTCAAGTTAATAATAGTGAAAATATTCTAAGAATTGTGCATTGACCGAGCCCTGTTACTTATTATGATTTATTACGAGTAAGTTTCTGTTTAGTTCTAGCTTATGCTTTGCCTGGTTGTAAGGTGGATGTGATGATTATATTGTTTATCTTAGGTGTGCTGTTAATTCATGGTTTGTAAAATGCTAATTCTCGAGTCAAGAAGTTTGGTCTTGAGTTTTCCAGAAAATATTGATTGAGGGTCTCTTTTGGGCATCTATGCTCTGCGTGAAAATTCAGACTTTTGGCTGGTATAATCATGACAACTACTGAAGCATTTACTTGATTTGAGCATAAGATGTTACAGGTGATGACACGGATGGTGAATTATCCTAGCAGTCTTTAGCTTTAATTCCTTAATTCAATGTGATTGTTATTGGTCTCTCTACAAAAGAAGTACTCAGTGGATATGTTAGTCATGTGGCTGGGTGTATGAATGATAAATCTTGCATCTTCAAGTGCACTTGTCTAATTTGAAGTCACATGTTATGCGCAAGTAAGATGATTAAATGGATAAAAATGCTTCTTTGATGATATTCTTTTCCTGTTTTGTAATCCTGGAGTGAAAAGTAAAATCTAGTAGCTCCAGATTAAGCTTATTTTACTTTAGTTTAAATGTCCTTCAGTTCAATTTTTTGGGAAAATGTCAAAAGACTTTCGGATTTGGAAGGAATAAAATAGCTAACTTGCTGATGGGCCCAAAAAGAAAATCTGCTTAACGATTAATGAGCATACTTTGATTGTTGTACATTTTTTTTGTGGTAGTTTGTTTTCTTTGTAAACTTTCTATGAGGCAGACACATTATGTCCTTGGTGAATCCGCCCTTACTTTATTTGATCATACATTTAGATAATCTACCTCTTCCCCAACCACTCCCCTCCCAACCCCCTATTAGCACTTAAAAGTCCACTATCTGTAGTTAAAAAGTCAGTTTGGAGATCAAATTGAAGTTGACTTTTGGAATTTAGGGAGAGCAAGATTATGCAAGGACTCAATGATTGCCCCTTGATAATGTTCTTTTGATGTTAAAGCGTGATAGACAACCAGGGAAAATTAAATAATTGATAACTGATGATCAGATTAAATCACACGAAGAGTTGTTGAGTGAGTATGACACATGCTTTACTGGTTTTGGAGTTACAGGTAAATTTGATTGCAAAGCCAAAAGCTACTAGATAGAGAAGTTAAAGATAAAGTGCAGTTACTTTTGGAGTAGACATTATAGAAATGATCATGGTATGGAGTATGAATCAGGTGATGCCTCCTACAGGTTCCAAATTGCTCTTTCTTGATGTCAATTTTTCATCAAGTATTAAAAGAGAAACCTTTTGGTTATTTATACAGTCATGGTTTTGGCTCAAACTCCTGTGCTTTTTGGTAGGATCCAGTGGGCTTTCTTTCATGTCCATTAGTTGGACTTGGATGTTTGTGGAACTTATTTATGCATTTTTTAAAGGTCATCTGATTCTTTATTGAATTTATTGCTCAAAGTATAACTTGGAGGCAAGTTAATTGTTAAATTCTGATAGTTATGCTGCACATAACCGCTCTATTTCAGTAGCTAAATGCTTGTAGGAAATTTCGTGACAATGGCAACTATGTATGAGTGTTAATTGGTTGAGTGGACACTGGCAATCAGTCTCACACACCAAAAGGATCTCTGTGGTCAGCCAGTTGCCATGCCACAGTGCAGTGCTGGTATAGTTGGCTGCTAGTGGTGCCTACTATGGCTTCTGTCCTAGCCTGGCCTACATGTTTCGTTGGTTGATACTTAGAAGGCGCTTCAATTCTCCCACATTTTCACCCACTTTTGGATTGCTGCAACATAAAATCCATCTAGGGATCCATGAAGATTTGCTTGTCATCTACTTTATATGGGAGATGTTACAGTTGAGTTATAAATTAGTGTTTTGAGATTTTGTCGCCATTTATGTAATTGTGTGATTCATGATCATAGGCTACAGATGATAGCGGTTGGGCATCCATGTCCAAGGTTATCTTGTAGCAAACATTGGATGGTTCAAGATATGCTTTAGAACAGGTTGATGAACATTTTTTGGTAACCAAAAGCTATTTCTGTTCTTCTGAGTATCATAGGGGGTTTTCTTGGGGGAGCAGATTCAGGTCCACATCTGGCAGTGCTTCCAAAGAGCAATAGATTCCCTAGTCCCTACCTCAATCACGGTGATGCCTACAGTACAGTTGTAGATCGTCAAAAAGAATGGTTATACCACCGTACTTGAATGGTTAACTGGGACAAGGAGATGAATGAAATCAACCGAAGAAAAGGGAGCATGACCACGGGGAAAGTTGAGGACGAGCTTTCATGCTTTTAGGTTTGATCTGTCAAATTAACTTTTTGATTAAGGAGTCTGCTAGACTCAATTACCCTCGGATACGGATCTACTGTGAACTGTTGGAACAAACACGTTACAATAGACAGTCTCTCACTCTCGACCTCGACCCCAAACCCGCCTGTTTGGGGCAGAAATGTTAGTAGGATTTTCGTTCTCGGTGTAAGATGGGCTCTACCTGATTTAGTTTATTATAGAATTGATAGTCACGTTAAGAAGTCGTAGCTGAAGAGAAGAATATCGATTTGACAACTGCAAGTTACTTGTGAATGAACGCAACAGCCAATTGTTGGCACTGACACTTCACAATAAGTAGTGATTATCTGTATATCGAAATGTCTAATTCCTTGCAATTAGACACGAGATAACTAGTGATAAAATAAACTAAACGACGCACTGCAGCTTACGTGAATCAGTGTCACTACAAGAAAAGTTCATGTATCTGCTGCAAGTGCATGCACTAAGACAAGAGATCAGTATACACGATTAATACGTTAAATGAAGTAGCTTAAAAAATGTTGGTTAGTGTTGGATATTTTAATAAAAAAATATGGCATGTTTATTTTGAATTCAAACACAATAATTACAAATTGTTCAATGATTTTTCAACTACAAATAAAACCATTCAAAAGTGTAACTTGTGTCTTTAAAATCAGATTTATGTCTTGAATTGTATAGCCTATGTAGTGATTAGGTTTATGAATTTATTTAGTGAATTTTTTATCGTTGTACAACGGATCTAAACTTTTCAATTTGTAATTGAAATATGAGGTGTTTATTCCTGTTAATGTTGGTGTTTTAATACTCCTAATTTCTTAACCTATAAATAGAGGCATCTATCAATCAAACCTGATATATACTTTGCCATATTTAGATTATTTTCTATTTTTACTTCCTCTCACTACTATTAGAGGTTATAGAGTAAAGAACAGAAGTGTTTTGTGAGGTTTCTGTCTTATTCCAATAGTGTAAATTGAAGTAAACTACAGTGAGGAGAAGATTGGGCCGTTGTATTCTAGAAGTGACGTGTTGAGACCTGCTACGCCGGAGGATACGCAAATCATCTTAAAAAGAGCGACCTAGTCCGTCCATCAATCCACGTTAAATTAACTTTTTATGGTACAAATTATTTGCATTTTTAATGCAACATTGAGGCATGAAATTTTTGTTAATTTCTTTATTAAATTTTATTAGAGAAATTATTATTGTTACTCATATGATTTATTTTGGTCAAGGTCAAGGACCAACAATTAGTTTGAGTGACCATCAAATACTTTCATTTCAAACCTCTCTTGAGACAAAAGTTTTTTGCTTCTCTTGGTCAAAAGAGGGGATGGGAAGGGGACCGACTTGGGAAGTTCTTGAATCCAAGTAAACGAACTTGGTTTAACGCAGGGGTTAGGTTACCACAGAAAATGCCATGATCAAGTGGTGAGATAAGCAATCATCATCATGATTAGAAAATTTTGTATGGGAACAAATTGGAAATTGAAAGTAGTTGCAGCAGTAGTTAAGCTAGTTAGGAAGGCCCCTTTCCAGTCCCCACGATTGGAAGTCAAGTATCAGCTGTTTTTTAAGTCAAACACTCTTCAGGGGAGGGCCATCATCTCTTGCGCTCTTACGATGGGATGGATGGATGATGAATCATCCCTGATGGGCACAGCTGCTGACTTTGGAGCATTTCAGTTGACTTCCCAACTGTTTAGAAGTCTCTCTCAAACCTTGTAGCCTTCAATATCTGTACAATTACATTCTGTCCCATGTTGTGGTTGGGATTGATCCTTCATATAAAACAGTAGCGAGTCGCAACCATCTAGTCCAGCTGAGCTGGTACGCATGTCAATTATGTCAGATTCTTCAATGAAATTGTTGTATAATTGCATAGAAACTTAAAGAATGAGTCCATATCCTGCAACACGGTGCTGCTGGCGCGTACAACGGCGCCTTCTCCGGCTATATGCATCAAGGCCATCGAATTAGCGAAGAAAATACAGCCCTTTATTTGTTGCTTGTAATTGTGGTTCAAAAACTAAACCAAGTCTTTCATCAAACACATCATGAGTCATTACTTGCTTTGATCATATCCACGTTACTGTTAGGTAAAGGGTGACTTGTGCATCAATCTTTATACGGTCTAAAAGTATGACACGCTTGATCTTGTGAATGGGATAATTTAATTCAAAAACCGTGCTACTAATCTGTCAATTGCGATGTCTTCTTGGGTGCAGTGGTATAAATGCAGCTAAGAAAACGTTGCTACATACATTTGACTTGGGTGCATGTGTGTAAGTTTAGAGCCATGTAAAAGTGTGTTATTTAGCAATAAAGATTGAGGCAAATTTTCTTTTTAAATTGGTAAGAGTTGTTTTAAGGATCGATATGAATTGTGTAGCAACTAACTTGCTCGGAATAAAAGGGTGAGAAATTTGCTAAATGGGAATTAATATGATAATAGAAAATTACATTTGGTTGATTGTATTAACTTTAGGTCAAAATAATGTTAGAAAAAGTTCACTTTGATCAATCTTGTTGTTAAATATATCAGGGAGTCTACATTCATGTTATAAATAATTCTAAATTATCAAACAGATAAAGAGAAGAGTTCTGTTATGTTTAGATTGCATTTTTCTGGATTTTTTATAAAAAAAAAAATTACTGTAGCGATTTGATATATGCGAGGTAAAAAGGTGATTGTGAAATGTATTCACAGAAAACGTAGCAATTTTTCTTTGCGTGTAGATCAATGACAAAAAGATATATAACTTTTCTTGCTTCTATGCGTGTAGATCAATCTTTGGCATCGAGTACTAGTTCATTTTGCCAACTTTTTTTTTTGATGCAAAGTCATTTGAGAAAAAAAATTCTTGTTTGATCTTGGCG